AAGTAGTCACCCTGGAAAAGAGAATACATGCAATTTCCTTTGTATAAAAACTATCACTTTTCTTCCAGAACTATTAGTAGTCGAGATAATATACACGAAATTCCTTCTCTTACTACTCTCTAGCCATATCTAAAGTCTAAACAAAAATAATTCCTAATTTAATCACTTCCTCATTTAACATCTGTAGTTCAGAACTATCTGGTAACTAGCTATTTGAGTAATTCCCACAGAGTATCTACACCAAAGTCTACAAATACCACCCTAGTGGACATCCATAGGTACTCAAAACCACTTTTTTTTTTTTTAAAGATTTTATTTTGAGAGAATGAGAATGAGAGAGAGATAGCACATGAGAGGGGGGAGGGTCAGAGGGAGAAGCAGACTCCCTGCCAAGCAAGGAGCCCGATACGGGACTCGATCCAGGGACTCCAGGATCATGACCTGAGCCGAAGGCAGTCACTTAACCGACTGAGCCACCCAGGCGCCCTCAAAACCACTTTTAAAGTTACAGAAAAGGGGGCACCTGGGTTACTCAGTTAAGTCACCAACTCCTGATTTCAGCTCAGGTCATGAGATTGAGCCCTGCATCATGGCTCCACGCTGAGTGTGAAGCCTGCTTAAGATTCTCTCTCCCTCTCCCTCTGCACCCTGCCCCCTGCCCCACTCAAGTGCATGCCCCTCTCTCTCTCAAAAAAAAGTGACAGAAAAGATAAAAGATTTGAAATAATCATCTCCTTTGAAGAGAATATTCACTTAGACATAGAATCTGGCAGAAAGAAAGTCACAGCACTTAAGAGTTGGCATATACTCTAATTTTTTTCATTTATAATACTTAAGGAAATGACAAGGCAGAGAAGCAAATTTCACCTTTAAAAACATTAAAAACACACAACACTCTTCAAAAAAATGTACTTTAATTCCAAGAGATTAATCTAGAATGAACACTATCATTTTCTACTATTTCTACTTGTGTAGTAAAGGAGTGAAAGAGACAACTTGCTATAATAAACAACATAGATTTTTACATTTCTTTTATCCAAGTTTCCTATTTGTATTTGTAGTATACATAATGCCACCTTAGATTTAAGAGTCCTAACCGGATTAAAACATGTTTTTGCATCTACTATTTTATGCCTATGAAGAATAAAGGCCACATCTGAACATATAATAGCCTCATACCTAAAGAACAAGTTTAATTACTGTGTCCTCCAGAGAAGGAAATTTTCATACATGATTAATGATCTGATTCCACTAAAAAAACAACAAAATTTCAGCAAATGTGAAAAAAGAAAATCCTGCTGTTAATTCATGATCTGAGAAGAATAAAGGTAATTCATTCTTCCACAGAAAAAGTGGGTTTAGAGAACAGTTCTGATCATTTTACATGGTAAAGTATCAAGTCTAATAACCAACCCCTTGCTCAGGACAAAATGATTTCAACATTTCCTCTTCTGAACTGCTCAGTAACCCCAAGTGATTTTTAAATTGGGAGGCAGATTACTGGCAATAAGTTCATCAAATTTAGATCTATCATGGATAGGCACATTATAGAAATCAAGAACATCTCTTACCCTACACATCTGGTGAAGCCTGGAGTTGGGCACTGCATGGCCCAGGTCATCAGCTAAACGTGCCAACAAACCGAATTTCAGATGACCATCTTCCAGGGACACATCCTGCCAATTGCTAGGAACAGATGAGCCAAAAATTTCTTTGACACAAGATTCCACACGACTCTGGAGATCTTCAGGTGGTATGTATGTTCGGCTTCGTAAGGGTGGACACACCAAAACAGGTTCTTCCTTCACCTCTTCTACTGTCTCAGCCACCACTGGCTTTTTCTCTTTTCTGGAATGATCAAAAACAAATATATGAATCTTTGGTTAACTAATGTAGCACTAATGTAGCTGACAAGCTGACGAACACCAGACCCAACCTTATCTATCTATCTAAATCAATAAATAATATGCACACTTACTACTCTTCCAGGCACTGTGGAGAGAATAAGATAGGTATCTGCCTTTGGAAGCTTATAACTGAATTGGGCTGGTACACACAGAAAAGAAAATTACAGATTTTACATGCTCTAAGAATTCCAATAACAGGTAAAGAGGCAAATCATGTGCCTGGGATTCCCAGTTTCTAAAACCAATCCTACCTCTCTAACCTCATCTCCTACTAATCTCCTATATACACTCTATGCCCTACCCAAACTAAACTACTACATTCTGTTTCCCTCTTTCCTGGTGTCATGTGTTACCTCAAGTTATATCCTATTGGAAATGCCTATCTTTCATCTTCACTTATAGAATCTTTTTTTTTTTTTTTAAAGATTTTATTTATTTGACAGAGACAGCGAGGCAGGGAACACAAGAAGGGGGAGTGGGTGGGAGAGAGAGAGAAGCAGGCTCCCTGCTGAGCAGGGAGCCCTGATGCAGGGCTCGATCCCAGGACCCCGGCGTCATGACCTGAGCCATAGGCAGACGCTTAACGACTGAGCCACCCAGGCGCCCCTTCACCTATAGAATCTTACTTTAATTCCTAGAACTGTTCTCTTCCAAGAAGCTTTACTTGATTTCCCCAAATATAACTATAAATTCCTCTGATCTACCAGAGCATTTTATATTGCTTTAACAGCATATCACATCCTACCTCAGTTTTAATTTTTTTACATTCTACTTCTCTTATCAGATCAGGGTTTCTGAGCCCAAACACTGACATTTTGGACCAGATAATTCTTTGTTGTAGCGGGCTATCATGTTCACTATAAGATGCCCAGCAGCATCCCTGGCCTCTATCCAGGGTAGGGTAAATGCCACAGCATTCCTGTTCTCAAGTCATAACCAAATGACATAGCCAAATGTCCAGATGGGCAAAATTATCCCTGGTTAAGAAGCACTGTACCAAATTATAAACTCCCGTTTTATTTATTATAAAGACCTGTTTTATTGATTTGGGGTCCTTTGAAAACTGCTTGAATAACTATTACTGAGAACAAGGGCCAATGTTAGGAAATCTACCTGATACACTACTTCAGTGCTTACTGAAACAGTAGTTCATGATCTGACTCTTGTTTTCCATGGAGTTGGTATCGGACTGGGACTGGTCATCCTTACAGAAATTGGAGGCATTGCGGAAAAAAAAAGAAAGAAAAGAAGTCTGACCAAGAATATGGTTTGTAGGGCGCCTGGGTGGCTCAGTCGTTAAGCGTCTGCCTTTGGCTCAGGTCATGATCCCAGGGTCCTGGGATCGAGTCCCACATCGGGCTCCCTGCTCCGCGGGGAGCCTGCTTCTCCCTCTCCCACTCCCCCTGCTTGTGTTCCTGCTCACTGTATCTCTCTGTCAAATAAATAAATAAAATCTTCAAAAAAAAAAAAAAGAATATGGTTTGTAGCACTATTTCCCTTTGCCTACTCAAAGGCTCTTCCAGCAATTTAGCCCTCATTCTGCATCAATTATCAATTTCTCTCTACCTACTACAGGATTCCCGGGGCACACAATATGCTGCTGTAAAAATCTCCCATCTTCAAAGAAAAACAGAAATACCCCCTAGACTCCATGTTCCTATCCAGTTTCCCAAAGAGTTGTCTACATTTATGTCTACTTCATCACCTCCCATTTTCTCCTCAAAACTACTCGTGACATTTCATCAGAATGAAATGTATCCATTCCTTCCATCTCAGTAATCTCGTACACTGCTCTAGTTTTCTACATAATTTACCACTTTCTGAAATTATATCCTACGTTTTTTTGCCTCCATCAGAATATATGCTCTATGAAGACAAATATTTGGTCTGACTTATTAACAACTGGATCCCTAACACCTAAACAGCTGACATTTAGCAGACACTCTATAAATTTGTGATGAATGAGTGAATGAAACAAACCTGAAGGAGATTTGAGATAATACTACTAACCAAAAAAGAGGGGAAGCTAATAAATCCATGAACAGATGACAAAAATCCTTCCGGATAGAAAGAGTTTTTGCTTGAAACCTGAGGGCATAAATTGCTCCCTGAGGTTCCCACAAGTTTTGATGTCCTAACACTGTGAGTCAAACAGATTTACCTTCAAAATGTTCCACATGGTGCTGTGGGAAAAGCAGGAGATGGGGAGGCGTCAAAGACCTGGGGGTTCTGGTTCCAGCTCTGCCATTAACCTGCTTTTGGCAAAAAACTTCCTCTCCATGGAGCCTCAGTTTCCCCATATGTCAGAGCTCTGAGAAGGGACTTTGTTTCGCTACTGTAAACTACTTAGGGAAATGCTGGCCCAGTCCTGGCGTTTAATAACTATCTGCTGAGTGAATCAATGAGTGAACAAATGAAAAAAATGAGGAGGCCACACTTCGTTTCTGTATCTTCCGTGTGAAGAAATATACCGCGCAAATGAACTTAGTTTACCGAGCGCTTTCACGTTCATGTTCTATGTGGCTCGTTGCAAACGAGTCATTTGTCTCCAGACACCGCACCTGATGCCTGCAACACGTGGTCAGTACTGTTTGCTTAATAAATTGGCTGAAATGGGAGGGAAAGAGAGCGGTATCTCCGTGATGAGAAAACTGAGGCCTACACTGGGCCCCACCACTCCAGGAGACCCGCGCTTACACTTCTGAACTCCGAACCATAATCCAAACTCAGAACCCGGGTCCCGTCTTAATAGCATGACGTTTCTGAATTCGTCCTTTCATCCTCCTCAGTTTCTCTCCTTACTTTCCCTGAACGAGACCCACCATCCAACCTTCCGCTTTACCTGAATCGAGACCAAAATTCTCTGCGTGGTGCCCCTAAGACGATCCACGTGAGACCTCTTCTGGTAACGCCAGACACAGACAGCGCCGCCATCTCGGAGGAGAGCTGCGTGATAGAGCTGGGCCCTCAGCTGGCAGTGACGCGCCAAGACCAGCCAGTCAGGTGTAAGCTTAGTGGTAGGTGTTCCCTTTTTCCTGTTAAGCGTCACCAGCTTCTCCCGCCCCCTTTGCATGCCGGGAAATGTAGTCCGGTGGCCATTGCCGGCGGAGGCTCGTTCTCTCAGAGCATGACGGGAGTTGTAGTTGGGGGCGTCCCGGGAAGGTTCCGGGTGACGCCTTCTGGTCCGGGGGCGGGCGGTCATAGCGCTCTTTGGCTGAAAGGAGGAGGAACTGGCAACCGGGAGGAGGCTCTAGCGAGGCCTTGAAGGCTGCGCAGCTAGGCGGGGTGGGAATTTGGGTTTGGGGGACGGCCAAGTAGCGCGTCTGATATGCTGCTGGGGTCGTGACCGCTCGGGGACCGAGGCAGGACCTGGCCAGACCCAGGCTGGAGGCCTCGCCTTCGTCGGGCCTAATTTCTAAAGGCTGGGTAGGCCTCACGAAAGGCTCCTATTCGTGCGACCGCGCGGGTTCCTGCCCTGATTTTCTGTCCGGGAGATGGCCTCCCCGAGCCCCCCGCCGGAGCCAAAGGTAAGTCGCCCTTCTGGGTACCCCCGTTCTCTCGCCACTACCGGAGCTAGGCCGCGCCACCGTCCCCCCCGCCCCCCCAACCCCCCAACCTCCCAACCTCCCAACCTCCCTACCTCCCTGACCGTGGTCTTTTGGGCCAGCGATGTGCAAGGAAGTACCGCGTAGTGCTCTGAATTGTGATTCGCGACCAGATCGTCCACTTGGCCCTTTTTTTTTTTTCCCCAAGAGCGACTTGGTAAATCAGTTGAAGAAAATTAGTAATGCTCCAGACAAGCGCTCTCATTTGAGTTCTTCCAGATGAGGCACCATTTTTTACCTTCCCCCGTGTCTTGTGCGCCTGTCACGATGCGTGGACCCAAGGTGGACGCTTAGAGAACTTCATGGGATTGAACGGGGTTCCAAGCCAATGCGGAGAGAGTTGGAGCCGGGCAATGAGGTGCAGGAAACTTGGGGAGTTTGGGAGCAGTTTACTAGAATAAAAATGTTAGGGTATAATTATTAAACCAGAAAAGCTCTATCGTTAGGACCCTCACTACTGACGACAAGATCCAGTTCAGTTATCCTCTAGTTTGAGGTGCCTGTTTGTTACAGAATTGGGCCCCATTTGGAACTCTTGGTTATCATGTTCCTTCTAGCCTACCCGGCCCTGATAAGTGATTGCTTCTGCTACTTTCAGTGGTAGAATTGTCCTTGAGACAACAAGAACTGACTACAGAAATCGTACTATTTCAGGGGTTGCTGACATTTGAGGATGTGGCTGTGTTTTTTACCCAGGAGGAGTGGGATTATCTGGATCCAGCTCAGAGAAGCCTGTATAAAGATGTCATGATGGAGAATTATGGAAACCTGGTCTCACTGGGTAAGAATCTCTTGTTTCTCTGATTAAAATATCTAAGAGGCTATCGGAAATCACACTCTGAGAACACTTGGACCACTACCAGTACCAAAACTGCTTTATTCCAAAGTTCTGATTCATATCTTTCAGCCATTAGTTGTTTCCATGACTATCATCCCTAGCATCCTTGCAATAACCAAAATACATGCCTTTCTGGCTTCTTATCTTCATAATCTCATTCCCATATTGCTCTGTACTTTCCCTCCTGGCTCATCCTCCCACGGCTTTCCTCCCACCCCTTTTCACTCTGCCTTCTGGAGCCCCTGTTCTTCTTCACATAATGTTCCTTACCCCTCCTGGCCTTAACGAAAACTGGCACTTTCCCAAGGACACCATTTCTCTGGCAGAGGCTGCTTTTTCTCCCACATCCTCTTCCCCCTCCCCCCCCCCCCCCCTTTTGTCTCAGGGCTAGAAGGGAGAAGTTACTGTTCTCCTGCCTTTCCAGTGCTCTTCCCAAAGTATTAGTTTAACCCTTCAAGCAAAATCTCTCTCCTTGGAGGCCTCAGCAGTCTTGCTCTACCCACTCAATTCCTTTTCACTATCATCTGGCAACATGTCTTGGGCCTTCACCATAGATTTTGTCACATTTCAGAATCTTCTCTATGCTCACCTGTGCCATCAGTGATGTAGTCATTACTTAAGCCTCACTATATTCCCTGACCATATTCTCTTCAGGGACCTGGCTTTCCTTTTTTGTTCAACTCACATCAGTGATCAAACCCTCAATTTTGTCAAAGCAGGCAAATCTTTAACCCTAATATCTTACTCTTTGAGAATTATTCAGACATTATTAATTATTATTTTAGATTAACTAAACAGGGGTGACCAAAACAGACATGATCTCTGCCCATGTGGAGCTATGCTAACTTCTTACTTTTTACCTCTCCTACTCCTTTCCTTCTACAACTACTTATTCTTAATCATGTTTCCTGTTCCTTGACTTCTTTTCTCCCCCCAGATTATCAGTCCTCTCATAACTTCAGCCTCCTCATCTAATCCATGGACCTACATGTGAATTATCACCAGCATGCTCTCTTGCCACTTTGTCATTGTGCTCTGCTCATTCTGCAAATTTCAAATTCTGTATTGGTTATAAAATCTGCCTTTTCTCCTACCAGAGTCACTAAACACAAGCAGGAGAAGTTCTTTAACTGAAAGGATTGATGCTCTGTATATATGTATGCATGGCTTTTCTTATAGTCTGCAGTGGGTTTTTACATCTCAGCCTATTCTTTATCATTGATTTGCTCATTCCCTTCTTCCTTTAAATGACTCTTCCAAAAACTAAAAAAGTTTTCCTTGGGTCCCTCACTCAGTAGTGGACCTCACTTTCTGTTTCACAGAGAAGATAGAGGCTACTAAACGCGAACTCTCAACTTTTCTGCCCTTCACGGGCATGCTTAAGACTGCTCCTGTTTCCTCACTTCTCCAGGAACTTATCCATCTGTAATCTTTCCCCCCACCCCCTTACAACTTTAGTCTCTATTCCTTCTGCCCTGGTACCTTTATTTTGATAATAGGTATGTTTATGACTCTTCCAGTTGGGGAAAGGAGAGGGGTGGGTGGCGATCCTTTGAGCCACAGGCTCCTTGCTGCTCCCTGTAACCTGCTCCTCATTCACCTAATAGCCAAGTTTTTGTAAGAGTAGTTAATGTGTGTTTTGTACTTTACCTTCCATCATCTCTAAGCCCCTTTTCTTGCTTCTGCCATTCCCTTAAATTGTTTAACATTGGTCTCTAATAACCCAGTTGTCAAATGCAGTAGACTCTTTTTTGGACCTTATTTTATTTTGCCTCTCTATAGATATTTGAAACTCTTTATTGCTTCCTTCTATTGCCTTGCATTCTCACACTTCCTCTCAGTTTATATCCTTTCTTTGGCAAAGCTTATCTACACTCAGATCATCACCTACCTCTATGTGATAAGTCCCAAATCTTTACTTTCACCTTTGAGAAGCAATCGGAGCTTAACTGCCTAAGTAAAAATCCTGGTTCAACCATTTGCAAGCCTTGTGACTATGGGTGAATTACATAACCTTTCCATGCCTGTTTCTTTTTTACAAAATGGAAATAATAATAGCACTTACCTCTTTGGGTTACTGAGTTAATATGTGTAAAGTACTTAGGACACTGATTAGCATGTAGTAAGTATAATACAAATGTTGATTGCTATCATTGTATTCGTTATCTTCTCTAAGAGCTCTAAAATCTTTGTCATCTTCTTTTGAAGGCCACATAAATAACTCACACCTGGCAAATTTCAAATAATCCCTTCAGATCTCAAGAGCTTCCTCTTTGGAATTAAGTACTCCTTTTTCTGTGCTACTGTTGAATTTATCACACTGTACTCTAATCATTCTTTATGTTATTTCTCTAACCAGACTGGTTTCCATGAGGACAGTAACTATATTTTTTTCATTTGATTTCTCCAGCATTTAGCACAGAGCCATATATATTATATGCTTAGGACAGAAGCATATATATTATATGCTTCTAAATGTTTGTGTAATGGAATGAATGAATATACTCAAGATTCAGTACCCCTTGACTAGATTATTGCATTAGTCCATGAACTAGCCCCTTGCCTCCAATCTCCCTTTCTTTTAATACATTCTATTTACTGTCACCAAAGTGATTCTGTTAATTAACTGCTTACAATTTACAATTCCTGATAGCCTAAAGGATAAAAATCTTAATTTCTTGTTATACCTACTGGGGCCTCTCTAAATAGCCCCTGCCTGGCTTTCTAGCATCATCTATTATTTTTGCACACCACTTCAATCTCCAGCCATATCAGCTGCTGATTTTTTTCCCCAATATGCCATGGTGTCTCTGAGTCATTGTCAGCTTTATCCACGCATATGGTATCCTGGCTGATAGAACCAGACAAATGCCTAGCCTTGTCTGCTCCTACTACTGTAAAATGTGAGTACCATATGGACGAAGGCATGGCAGTGAGCCCATCTGTAATCTCCTACTTTCAGGTTCTCATTTTAGCCGAACTACAACTTTTTATCAGTTATTATATCTCCCTCCACAATCTTTTCATCTGTAGACTCTGTCTCCATTCCTTTGATGAGAGTTCCCTTGCTGAAAGATCACTATTAACTTGATTTTTTCTAATGTAGTGTTTTCCTGCATGTCATCTTGCTGCTTTACTTAGTACAACTCTCTTTCAAATTTAATTTTGGTCCTTTATTCATACCTTTCCTTTCTATGATGATTTTTCTTTAAACACTTTAGTAACTCTGTTGATAATACAGCTGACAGCTTAATCTCAGTTCTCAGTCTTTCAGTTCTTTCAAATGAAATGGACTTCTTCAGTTTTAATGATTCCTTTCTAGTCTGCTTGAGCCATATTGGACCTTGACAGCATTGGGAATTGCTGTTTTTTGTAAGATGTTAAACTCATTGTTTCTTTTCTTAGATTATAGTCTTTTCTCAATTATTTGTTCAACTACTCATCCATTCAATAAATAGTTAATCAAGCACTGTGCTAGCGCTAGGAATGCAGATTCTTCCCCATTCTCTCATTCTTTTACCAAGAAAACTGTTCTTTCTATACTCTTTTGGATACCGGGGTTGGCAGCTATGGTCAGTCCACAGGCCAAATCTGGCACACTGTTTTTATAAATAAAGTTTTATTGGAATGTAGACATGCCCACTTTTATGTATTATCTATTACTACTTTCATGCTGTATTGGCAGAGTTGAATAATTGCAGTAGAGACCATATGGCTGACAAAGCCAAAAATATCTATTGTCTGGCCCTTTTTAGAAAATGTGTGGTAACTCTTGTTCTGTCCTAAAGTTTAGCCACTTCCACTTTACTATTTCCTTGCCTTTTCTATCTCTCTGCAGCTACCATATTATTAAAACTGATTAGAGTATAGAAATCAACTCAAACTAGCTTAAGCCAACAAGAGAACTTATTGTAGGGACCGAGGTGGCACACAGAATATATGAGCATGACTCCAACTGGATGTCAGAAAAGGATTAAACCCAGGGGCATCTGGGTGGCTCAGTTGGTTAAGCATCTGACTCTTGATCTCGGCTCAGGTCTTGATCCCAAGGTCATGAGTTCAAGCTTCATATCTGCCATGGAGCCTACTTAAAAAACAAAAACAAAAAAAACTACACCCAAAAATTGGATCGCTCAGGAAGTCAGGAATGAACTCTGTCTTTGCATTCTGTTTCTTTCTTCTTGGTAGAGTAGTCTTTCCTCCTCATATCCACATGCTTCTGTCCCTATAGCTTCTGAGTTGATAGATTACAATTCTAGTCATGTTGGAATAACTGCCTATTTCAGTTTTAATTCCAAATTCCTGGGAGAGATGCACTTTTGAGTCAACTCTCTACTATAGACAAATTAGCTATATGATCACAGGATGGGAACATAGAATACAAGCATGGCAGAGACCACAGAAGGTGATTATATCTACCAAGCCCAGATCTAATGGATAGTCCTTTCTATGCTGCTCTGTGTGGAAGCCTAAACTCACTTGTTTTCTTTACCTGTCTCTCTTTGACCTATTTATTTTCATTCCAGTGCCTCTCTGTTTAATTTACTTAAGCTGTGTATTACATTTTATGCCTGGTATAATAAATTATTCTTTTATATTCTTTTTTAGGATATAGTTCCAGTTGAAATTTAGATTCATTGGGGTTTTTTATTCATTCATAGGATTTTGATTGGAATACAATTGGGTTCATAAATTGGTTTAGGAAGAATTAAGATCCTTATAACATTGAATCTCTTTAGCAGTTTGCTTGACTCTATTTGTCTTATGTCCTTCCGAAAATTTTTGTGGCTCATTTTCATGGCTCTCATACAATTCTTGTAAGATTTATTCTTTGTTTTATGGTTTTTATTATCGTACAAGGCATATTTTATTTTTCTATAATATTTACTAACTGGTTACTTTTGGTAGTGAGTACTTACCACTACTTATTTTATATCTTAGTTTTCTTGTTGCTATTATATTTCACTTAATTTTTTTTAGAAATTTTACGTAGACATTTATGTTGTTTGCAAATAACAATAATTTTGTCTTATTCCTTTGAGTAAAACCCCTGGAACAACAGTACTGGGTAAACATTATAAGGAGATTTGCCCTTCTCACAAGGAATTTACAGGCCCATAGAAGAGATAAATACATTGCATTCACAGTGCATATAATAGCTATAATGCAGTTATGGATGAGGGCTGGTGATAAAAAACAGAACACCTAGGTCTGCCTAATGGACTTAGTGAAGGCTTTGTAGAGGAGCTGTTGCTTTGAATTGAATCTTAAAGAGAAACCAAGAGTTTGCCAGGTAAGCAATATTGGGGGACATTTAGTAAAATAAGATATGCAAAGAAATGGCATAAAAGAGTAACATAAGTAATTTGCCCACTTCCACTGTGAGAGAGTGGGTAGGAGGGTGACTTGAGGTTTAGAGAACCTTTCGTGAAGTGCTGAGTATCATGGTGTAAAGAGCTTTGATTTGCTCTCACAGGTGATGGAGTACTAGTGAATCTACAGGTCGTGATGTGACTGGAATTCCATTTTATGTACATCTCTCTGGATGCAGTGAAGTAGATACAGTGTGGGGACAGTCTTAAAGGCTAGAGTGAAGGATTATTAGATGGCTTTTGCATAATCCAGGGAAAACATGGAAAGAAGGTAGATACTAGAGAGTTGAATCTTTGATTTTGGTGATTTTTTACCAATAAGAAAAACGGAGAAATCTAGGATGATTTTCTGCTTTGGGTAATGGATGAGGATGCCTGTCAAGAGAAGATCATTCGAGGTGGAAACATACATGACAGCAAATGATGATGATCCTGTTAATTGTAAGCCCTTTTTGAGACAGGTAAATGGCAATATCCAGAGTATATGTAGAGAGCAAGGTAAGAATGTAAATATATGGGTAACAGTAACCTTCAACAGTTAATGAAGGAAGAGAAATACATGAAGGAAATTTATTAGAAAAGGCCAAAGAAGAAGTAGGGAGGGAACTAGAAGAATATAATGGCATAGAAATCAAAAACATAGTGTCAAAATGATCAACAGTGTCAGATGCTGCTGAATAAAGACTGAAAACGTTCATTATATTTGTTATTCAGGCATCATTGGTGATTTCGTAGAAGCTTTTCTAGATGTTGGAAACAGAAGCCAGATTTCACAGTAGGATATGGGGGAAGAGGTGGGCATGGGAAACATACCTGGGAAATGGAAACCTACAGTGTTAAGATTTTATTTCAAAACTTAGATTTCAGGGGCGCCTGGGTGGCTCAGTCGTTGGGTGTCTGCCTTCAGCTCGGGTCATAATCTCAGGGTTCTGGGATTGAGCCCCGCATTGGGGTCCCTGCTCCACGGGAGACCTGCTTCTCCCTCTCCCACTCCCTCTGCTTGTGTTCCCTCTCTCGCTGTGTCTCTCTCTGTCAAATAGATAAATCTTAAAAAACAAACGAACGAACTTAGATTTCATTAAGAGAAGGATTTCAGGTTCGAGATAAAATTGGGCATATTTATATGCTGAGCATATTTGTATGTATGTTGGCAATGGAGAACAGATGGAAGAAAGAGGAAACAATGGTAGTAATTAAACAAGTGCTCAAGAGACACGTGGGATCAAGAGAAGGTAGATGAATTAGCTTTGGATAGTAATGGGATATATCTTCATGTATCATTGCAGATAATTTTATAGGCAGTGGGCAGAAAGTTGAGGGAGTTCTCTCATCCTTTTTCATTGTGTGAAAGAAAGCAGTCCACTGAAGTGAATTTAAGAAACAATACTATTAGGAGTGTGAGCAGAAATAAAGTTTCTACTAATTTCTTAGGGGAATAAGAGAAGTTTTTTTGGAATAAAATAACTTAATGACTGATTTGAAGTAAGTGAAAAGAAATTTCAGAGATGACTCAAAGGTAGAAGATTAGAAAATTGAGAGAAAAGAAGAAGTCTAAAAAAGAAAATTGTTTAGGGCCAAATACATATATTTGGTACTGATCAGCTCTTGTAGCGAAATTATCCAGCAGACAGTAAGAGATAGAAAATCAGGAAAAAAGTCAGAGGCAGACTCAAGGGTTCTGTATGCCACTCTGTTTCATCAGAGACCATTATGTTATCTTTCCTTCAACACATGCAAGATTTTCATTTCTCAGATGTCTTAGAGACTCTCAGTTGGAACTAAATGGTTCCAACTTGGGCTCTTACATCTTTAGAAGAGTGAGAATCATATATACTTGAAGAACGTGGTAGGATTTGTGGTAGGTGAGGGCATAAGTTACCATAGACTGCTTTTTCTCTTTTCTTTCATTACCCCGACCATGTTCTTTTGTATTTATTTTATTATGTCTTTCTATATCATAGACTCCATGTCACTCCAACCCATTATTTTATTTTTAAAAGCCATTTTGTCTCACTATAGGAACTGCTTTACCTAAATATTCTATCATAATATTTTCTCTCTCCAGTATACTTGTCATTCATTTTATTTGGTAGGGAACTTCATGTCTTATCTTTGAATCCTGAATCATTACATGATGCCTGGAGTGCTTTTGTCTGCAATCAGTAAATTCTTGTTAATGAATGAATTGTTGCTTCCCCTGCTTTGTTTTTGTTTTTTGTTTTTGTCTTTTATCCTTCTCAGCATCATTTTGTGTTCATGTCTGTCAGTTATTTGGTCTCCTCATAGTCCAGTAATGCTGTCTTACCTCACATTTTCCTGAACCTACTGTTTTCTTTCTGCATCATCCTTTCTTCCTTGATAGAATACTTCATCACACCACTACTTGTTTTATTTCACTGTTTGCCCATCTTACCTTGCAAAATCGTCTGTTGATTTACCTGCCCTTCCTCCCAACTCTGCTTGCCCCTACTAACTCATCATTTGCCTCATAAAAACACTCCTTTAGTGTGCCTGGCAGACTCAATCAGAGGACATGTGACTCTTGATCTCGGGGTTGTGAGTTCAAGCCTCATGTTGGGTGTAGAGATTACTAAAAAAATAAAAACTTAAAATTTTGCTCCTTTGAAACACACACACATACACACACACACTCTCTTTTCATACCCCTTCTCCAAGAAAAATATTTCACCAGATAACTAATAATATTGATATAGCTTGTATTCTTTGCCAGGTACTGTCCTAAATGCTTTATGTATATAAACTAATTTAATTAATCTTCACTATACTGTGGAGTAGTCATCTGCATTTTATAGATGTAGTGGATTAATTTATGTTAATCTTATTTTCCTAAGCATTTCTCCTTGCTAGCAAAGAGCCCAGCTGATCTTTCTATTTTCTGTTTATTTTTCCAGATGTTTTGAACAGAGATAAGGATGAGGAGCCAACTGTGAAACAAGAAATTGAGGAGATTGAGGAAGAAGTGGAACCACAGGGTGTAATAGTTACAAGAATCAAAAGTGAAATTGATCAAGATCCCATAGGTAGAGAAACCTTTGAACTTGTTGGTAGGTTAGATAAACAGAGAGGAATCTTCTTATGGGAAATACCAAGGGAATCTTTGGCCCAGGAACAGAGAATGTTCAGAGGAAACACTAACATTATTCGTAAGAGACCAAACTCAGAAGAGAAATGCCACAAATGTGAAGAATGTGGAAAAGGTTTTGTCCGCAAGGCCCATTTCATTCAACATCAGAGGGTCCATACTGGTGAGAAGCCTTTTCAATGCAACGAATGTGGGAAAAGTTTTAGTCGCAGTTCATTTGTTATTGAACATCAGAGAATTCACACTGGGGAAAGGCCCTATGAGTGTAATTATTGTGGAAAAACCTTCAGTGTGAGCTCAACCCTTATTAGACATCAGAGAATCCACACTGGAGAGAGACCCTATCAGTGTAATCAGTGTAAACAGAGCTTCAGCCAGAGAAGGAGCCTTGTTAAACATCAAAGGATTCACACAGGTGAGAAACCCCATAAATGTAGTGACTGTGGGAAAGCCTTCAGCTGGAAGTCACACCTTATTGAACATCAGAGAACTCACACTGGTGAGAAACCCTATCACTGTACCAAATGTAAGAAAAGCTTTAGTCGAAACTCATTACTTGTTGAACATCAGAGAATTCACACTGGGGAAAGACCCCATAAATGTGGTGAATGTGGGAAAGCTTTTAGATTAAGTACATACCTTATACAACACCAAAAAATCCACACTGGTGAGAAGCCTTTTCTTTGTATCGAATGTGGAAAAAGCTTCAGTCGGAGCTCATTCCTTATTGAACATCAGAGGATCCATACAGGTGAGAGACCTTACCAGTGCAAAGAGTGCGGGAAAAGCTTCAGTCAGCTGTGCAACCTTACTCGTCATCAGAGAATTCACACAGGCGACAAACCCCATAAATGTGAGGAATGTGGAAAAGCCTTTAGTAGAAGCTCAGGTCTTATTCAGCATCAGAGAATCCACACCAGAGAGAAGACTTATTCATACAATGAAACCAAGGAAAGTTTTGATCCAAACTGCAGTCTTGTTATACAGCAGGAAGTCTACCCCAAGGAAAAATCTTATAAATGTGATGAATGTGGGAAAACTTTCAGTGTCAGTGCTCATCTTGTACAACATCAAAGAATCCACACTGGTGAAAAACCCTATCTATGTACTGTATGCGGGAAAAGCTTCAGTCGGAGCTCATTTCTTATCGAACATCAGAGAATCCACACTGGTGAGAGACCTTATCTGTGCAGGCAGTGCGGCAAAAGCTTTAGTCAGCTTTGTAATCTTATTCGACATCAGGGTGTTCACACAGGTAATAAACCCCATAAATGTGATGAATGTGGGAAGGCCTTTAGCCGGAACTCGGGCCTCATTCAGCATCAGAGAATACACACAGGAGAGAAACCTTACAAGTGTGAGAAGTGTGACAAAAGTTTTAGTCAACAGCGCAGCCTTGTCAACCATCAGAAGATCCACGCAGAGGCGCAAACCCAAGAAACCCATGAATGTGATGCTTGTGGCGAAGCCTTCAATTGCCACGTATCTCTTATTCAGCATCAAAAATTGCACACTACATGGATGCAGTAAATGTAGAGAAATATTCAAGCTCAGTTTGACTTGAGACTAGCTACCCAAGTGCAGTTTCAGTATGTTTCACCATGAGTCAGGTTTAGTGACAAAGCAAATTCTCCTTGGCCTCAGGCAAATGGTTTCTAGATTCTGTGAAAGGTGGACAACTGCCCACAGGCAGCTGAAGACTTCCATTCCTCTTTGTTTTGATGATCATAAAGACTCAGTAATTTATTTAAGCATCTTTTTGTCACACATCTTTCAGCAGAGAGGTCAAACCCAGGTTCAGAGCACTTGGTATTATAATTAATAAAGGGATAAGGACAAAGTTGCATTGGTACAAGGGAGCTGAAGTTAGAAAACTAGAGTAATTATTCAAGAGAGTCCCCTGCCACCATCATATGGTGGTTCATTCAGTTCCATAAGTTTGGCAGTACATGCCAAAGCCTAGTAATTAAGCATATGATTAAGTTTTTGAGGAAACAGAGCCCCAGTTTTTTTTCAAATTGATATCCAAAGATTTTTTTGGTCATTGCTTAAGAAAGCCAGTTGTTTGGCATGTGATTTAAAGAAGCAGTTCCAATGCCTTGTGTTTCCCAGATCTGTGAAATGAGTGGACCATTAATCTTACATATAAAGATTATGTGAGTAATTAACAAATGTAGCAAAGGTGTTACCAAGGAACCTTTGGGAGTGCCTTTTTTCAAGATGGGCCCGAAAAAGTGGAGGAAGACCCTTCTTTTTGTGCCCTCCCATCTGTGAAACATAATTGTAGTCCTATACAAATAACCTTATTCCTCCACTATCAGCATGCAAAAGTGTACATATTTTGATTACCAAGAGTTGGAAATAAAAAGAACTGGAGTCTATACTAGGAAGCTGAGATATTTTGGTAATTGCTTTGGTTTTTATGGTAACTAGACTTTGCATGCGATTTTAAAATCCTTATTTCTGGTTCTAGGGCTTCCCTTAGTTGATGGTTATATAAACCTGTTAATTCATCTGTTTTAATCATTAAACCTGTTTTTTTTTTTTGCTTTGTGTAAGAGTTCTTTGTTATTTTCATGCAAAATCTATCCTGTCAAATAAATACTGCACTTAAAAATTAGAATCAAGGATTTTAAAGAAATTGCTCTCACTTGTACTTGTGACTACAGGCATACCTTGGAGATACTGTGTTTGGTTCCAGACCACTGCAATGAAGCAAATACTGCAATAAAGCAAATCAAGTTAATTTTTTTATTTCTTACTGCATATAAAAGTTACGTTTACACTTTTCAGTAGTCTAATAAGCGTGCAATGGTATTACATCTACAAAAGCAATGTATGTGCCTTAATTTTAAAATACCTAAGTGCCTATTGCTAAAAAGTGCTGACGATCATTCTGAGCTTTCAGTGAGTCATAGTTACTAATCAGATTAGTGTAACAAATATAATAGTAATGAAAATGTTTGATATATTGCAAGAATTACCAAATGTGACACAGGGACGCAAAGTGAGCAAATGCTGTTAGAGAAATGGAATCTAGATTTGCCTGTTGCAGGTTTGCCACAAGCCTTCAATTCGTGAAAACAGTATCTGCAGAGCACAGTGAAGCAAACCACAATAGATCGAGGTGTGCCTGTAGTGACCTTTTCTGGGATAATTCAGTTAGGGTTAAATCCAGGTTCTTTAGTTTCTGAGTGTAGAATTCCAAATCACTGGAGCTCTAATTCTAACTACCTAATAGTTTGAGCAAAACACCTCCCATTCTTCTATATTACAGACATTCTGAACGTCTCCTCCACACTTTCATCTTCCCCTGGGAGTATTTGTGTGTGCACATGTGAATGTGAAAGGTATATGTGTAGAAATCGTGTTCCCTCCTATTCAAATTAGGTACTCGTAGTCAGCATACAGTTAACTTGTCAAAACAGAGTTTGTAGCCCAATGAAAAGTACAAAAAATAACTGGAAATGTGCCTGATGCCTCAATTATCCTCCTGCCTGAAATTTCCCGTTTTATACTTACTCTCTACGAGTCATTCTCAGGCCGGCGACTCAGCTAATAATGAGGTTCTTAGACCTGTTCTCAGTATTTTGAAAAGCCTAATGTGAAGTATGTTTTCCATACGTGATAGTTGCATGCACACTTAAGCATTGTGCCTTTCGCCGCAGTTGCATCTGTTTCATGTATGGTTATCTTGCTTAGCAGAAGCTCTGGCTGTTGACCTCATCATAATGTGGGGACATGGTCATATGAGATATTCCTACTAAAATAACAATTTTTAATATCCTTGGTTGTGAATCTGGAGTGATAGCTCAAAACTCCGGTTGCAGTGAAACAATTCTTGATTATATATGCAATTCATTGCTTATGTAAAGCATAGCCAAAAAGATTAACTTTTTTAAAGCAAGGTTATCGCAGTGTTTGTGGTAGTTTTCTAAGAGTCTGGTAAAAGAACAGGGAGGCATGTGAAGAAGAGGAGAGAAGGAGAAAGTTAAATCTTTCAAGAGGAAATGATGCTTAAGATGAGACTAAAAGATGAGTACCAGGAAAAAACAAGACAGAATTACCAAAGGACCTACTAGCTACAGAGTGAACCTCCAGTTGTGTGGTGATCGGCAAGTGGCAGGTGAGAGTTGCCTGCTAAAGAGAGAGGACTACATGCTGCCAAAAATTGTGTGATAACATTTTCCTTGTATTTAAATTGTGTGCACAAGAGAAGGGCACATATTTTAAGTGTGCAGCTCTGAATTTCACAACTAAACCTATGTCACTAGCACTCAGCTTAAGAAATATTACTGGTACCCCTGATACTCACCTGGGTACCTTTGCAAAAACTACACACACAGCACATCTTGTGGTGCCTCCGTTCTAGTTTAAAAGACAATGTGGAAGTGAATATGAGGAGAAAGTTATATGAGTTCGTGTACTTACGAAGGCCAAGAAGTCTCATGCCAGCTATAAACAAGAACCATGAAAGCCAGTGGTATAGTTCAGTCCCAGCCCAAAGACCCAAGAACCAGGAGCACTGACATCCGAGGACAGGAGAAAATGGATGCCCCAGCTTCCCCAGGTGGAGAGTGAATTTGCCTTTCCTCTGCCTTTTTGTTCAGTTCATGTCCTCAATTGGATGATATCCACCACCATTTTTGAAGTCGATCTTGACTCAGTCTACAGATGTAAATGCACATGTCTTCCAGAAACCCTCACAAACCCAAGAGATAGGATTTTACCGGCATCCCTTAGCCCAGTCAAATTTAAACAAGTTAACCATCACAGTAGACAACATTTTATTTTTATTTATTTATTTTTAAAGATTTTATGTGAGAGAGAGAGACACAGTGAGAGAGAGAACACAAGCAGGGGGAGCAGCAGAGGGAGAGGGAAAAAGCAGGCTTCCAGCAGAGCAGGGAGCCCAGTGCGGGGCTCGATTCCAGGACCCTGGGATCATGACTTGAGCTGAAGGCAGACGCTTAACATCTGAGCCATCCAGGCGCCCCCACAGTAGACAACATTTTAAAACTAGCAGGTAAAAGGAGTCTTTGGTGGCAGCAAAAAAAAGAAATTGAAAATCACTACAATGCTCCATTTCTCTAATTCTGTTAAGTGAGGCATTTCATTTTCATCTGTCTTCCTAAAGAAGGATGTCATCAGCAAATCTAGGGGCATACACAGCATACCCACTTGAGCATAATATTTTTAGAGTAAATTTCAACTTTTTAAAAAAAATCTAGACCAAATATTACAAGCATTTTTTTTTTTTAAGTCATTGTTCCTAATCAGTATTTAATACCTTTCACCTTCCTTCTCTCCTTCAAATGTGTTCTGTGGCCTTGGGTGGTTGGCAGGAGTGGGTTGATTGATTTCTTTTTAATTAAGGCCATCTCTATAACCATAATGCATGGAAAACAGAAGGATAGGTACATTTACTTTACTGCACAAATAGTACAAGTTTCATTAACATGTATTTTTAAATACCTGTCGGGTGCTATGTTAATACTGTATTAGTTGCATAGTTGCTTCAAGGAGTCCTTTATCCTCAAGGAGACTTTGAGAAGTGAATAGTAAGCCATATGTACTCCACAGTGTAAAGAATGGGGGGAAATCATGTAACTTTCCCAAACGCTGAGTCTTGATACATTTTGCAGAAATAAAAAAAGAGTATGTCTCTACCTGTGCTATTTCCTGTCCAGGAGCCCTGTTCTCAAGAACATGCTTCTCATGTTCAATGACTAAGGTAGCCCACATCACATGACAGTTATTGCATCCCCGGGACCAGGAAATGCATTCTGACCTCTTTAGCCTATAAAATGCCCCAGGGAAAACCAGGGCAGGACAAGGAAAAGTTGGAAGTGGCCGCAGAAAGATGTTTGACCTTGTTTTTTTTAAGACGGCAGGATAGATTTCTCTGGCATCCGAGACCTCAGGCTATAGCCTAGTCCTGGTTGTTCTGAACTGCCAGAATTAGTGCTCTGTTTAGATGCTTTATATTTCACTATGCTGCCACCATACTCAAAGGGCCGAGTCTGTGCATGTATGTAAGCCTCTTTTTGAGAAGCAGATGTAGAAGAGTTGTGAATTATTTGTCCCAGTACTTGCCTGTTGAGTTGCAATAAAACAGACTTGTTGGGTCTATTAGGGTGGTAAATAGCAATGTTACATGAGTTTTTGTTGTTATTTTCCCCAATCTAAAGATCTCATGTCCACTCACCCACCACCACCGAGAGGCTAGGCCCTATGCTGGATTTGCTATTCTACACACTTAGCTACTCCCAGCTTCCCAATCTCTTTTGAGTCCCCTACATTCCAAAAAAATAATTTTCAGCACTATTCTTTTATCACATTATTTTCTGCTCAAGAATTGTTCACAGGTCCCTATTTCTCCTTACTTCAAGGCAAGACTCCATAATATCCCTGCCCAATCTCCCCTTCCCCTTCACTGTGCTGCTCCACTTGGCCTCACCCTATAATTTCCAACAGTGTCCTCAACATATACGATCTGTACTCTAGTCATAAATTTAATTCATCTTACACAGCCACTCAAGTGCTTCTACCATTCTCCAAGAGCCAACTGACAGGGAAAAAAACATAATATTTATTCACAACTTATGTATCCGGCACTCTACGTAAAATATTTCTAACCTCACAGCAACCCTATTTTACAGATATGGAAACTGAGGCTTGGATCCCAAGGTCATATAACTAGCAATAAACTGTAACTCATCCCACAGTCTTTATAAAGCCCCTTTGATCCCAGCACCTCACCTATGCCACTGTAATCTAGCACACTGTTGTGTACCATTTTGTTTCCTAACTGTACCCTTATCTTCCTCGTCTCGGTATCTTCACACCACTGAGCATACTGTAGGTGATAAATGAGTACTTGTTGACTGATTTTATAAATGTTTACAGAGACTGATACCCAGCATTGAGTGACCATTTCAGGAAGCTTAGGACAGACTGTGTTACAGCTTGGGAAACATACTTACTTGAGTAATGAAAAGAGAGCTATGACTGGCTGTGTTGAGCTTTGCCATTACTCCTGTCTCTTCATTCATCCTCTCTAGAAAATGGCCTTAGGGAATTGGTAGCACTACGAGCCCCCTGGGCTCTCTTGAGCATAGATAATTCATTTTTACCCTGCATGTGAGGTAGATACTATTCTAAGGACAGGTCCACAATTCTTTATCTGATAGCTTTGAGGGTGTATGTATTTGAGAAATCAGAATTTTTCAGATTTTAGAGATTAAATATAGAGCTTATGCTATATATTGTATAACTCTCTCTGCAGGGTCTGAGTCAGCACCTAAAATCAGACACAGTAGCTCCATATCCCACCAAGTGGAATAAAGATGACAGCCTCAAGTCAGGTTCTGCCATCAAATAATTTGCTGTAAACTTAGGAGAAAACTTGGTTTTCAGAGCTTTTTGGATTTCAGGATTGTGAAAATTGCAATAAGGGATGTGAACCTGTTATTGAGATGTATTGACTCATTTAATCTCTCAGTAATTTGCAATGCTGTACCTTTTTTTTTTTTTTTGGAGATGAAGAAACA